TTTTTTTTTGTGGCACCGGGGATTGAACTCAAGCCCTTGCACTTGCCAGACAAGCACTTATTCTGCTGAGCTATCTGCCTGGCCCCTGTTTTTCCTTTTAATTTAACTTTTTGCTATAAAAATTTTGAACAGGGGTTGGGGAGATGGCTCAGTGGAATAAGTGCTTCCCTGGCAAGCGCAAGGGTCTGAGTTCAATCCCCAGTTCTGCAAAAAAAAAAAAATTTTGAACATTACAGTGAACACCTAGTATACTCACCATCTAGAGTCAACAGGTTTTTTTTTAATCTTCTATGTTTCTTCTGTGTGTGTATCTAAAACATATTAAATATATATATATATATCCCCCCCAAGCATTTTAGTCCCCTAAATAAACCCTTCAAACTAAATAGGTTCATTCTTCCGGACAACCACAATATTACTGTCACTGGGTCGGCCAGATAGCTCAGCGGATTAAAGCACCTTGTTAGGCAGACACAGGGGACAGGGTTCAACCTCATGGTGCTGTGCCAGCCCTACCCCTGGGGCACACTGAGACAGGTTGAAACTGAGTGTGGTGGCACGTGCCTGTAATCCCAGCATTTGCAAAGCTGAAAAACAGGAAGGATCACTACAAGTCTAATCTGTGTAGTAAGGCCCTGTAGACCCTGTACTAAATACAAAAAAATTACTTTCACACCTTAACAATGAACACTAATTTCTCACTTTTTGTCTAGGACCTAGTTATCATTTGAATTTTTCCAGTTTTCTCATTAAAGAAAATCTTTTATAAGAATCCAGTCAAAAAGCCACCCAGGGGGCAGAGAGATAGCTCAGTAGAATAAGCATTTGCCTGGCAAGCGCAGGGTCCCTAGTTCAATCCCTGGTACCACAAAAAAAACCCACATTTACCCAGGACATACAGCTTTATGATACAGCACCTCCCTGGCAAGCGCAAGGGCCTGGGTTTGAGTCCCAACACAAAAAAACCCACCTCACATTCCATTAGGTTATGTCTCATTTTAACCTAAGACATTTGCCCCCAATACAACCACTTTTTTAAAAATACATTTTAGGGCTGGTGAGATGGCTCAGTGGTCTAAAGCACCTATTTAAAACAAGCTTAGCAAAGCACAGGGACCGCGGTTCAATCCCCCAGCACCACATGCCAGCCAGCCCCGCCCCCTGGTGGGCTGAGCTGAGCTGGCCACACACACACACACGCACGCATAAATAAAAAATAAATAAATAAATAAAAAATACATTTTAATGTCATTGCCTGCCAGGAAGAGAGACAGTTGTTTGGCAGAATGTCCGACATTCTGTATTTGTCCTGTTTTCCTAGGATGTTAGCACATTCTTTTCTCACCCTGTCTTTCCTAAAAACTGTAAGTTAAATTTTTTTTTTTTTTTCCAGAACCAGGGATTGAACTCAGGACCTTGCATTTGCCAGGAATCACTTATTCCACTGAGCCATCTCTCCGGCCCCTGGAAGTTAAATTTAAAGCTTAATTAGATTTAAGTTAAAAGTGTTCTGAGGTAATGGGCTGGGAAGATAGCTCAGTAGGATAAGCGCTTGACTGACAAACGCAGGGATCTGAGTTCAATCCCCGGTTCTGCCAAAAAAAAAAAAAAAGTGTTCTGAAACGCACTTCACAGGCAGTGCTGCTGCACCATGGTACAAACTTACAGTCCCAAGCAAGGCTGAAACCATCTCAGTGAGAATGGGTAGGGATGTAGCTGTGAGGCGGAGCACTTTCCTAGTATGTGCAACACCCTAGGTTTAATCCCTGAAACTACAAGAATAAACAGATGCAATAGTTCAGTGGCATAAGTGTCTGCCTGCCAAGTGCAAGGTCCTGGGTTCAATCCCTGGTACAAAGATAGATAGATAGATAGATAGATAGATAGATAGATAGATAGAGATAGATTAGATAGATAAGGGGCCGGGGAGATGGCTCTGTGGAATAAGCACTTCCCTGGCAAGCACAAGGGCCTGAATTCAATCCCCGGTTCCACCAAAATTAAAAAAAGATAATTAAGTTTGAGTATTGCTTTACATAGAATCAACTAGGTGTAGGGGGCTGGGGAGATGGCTCAGTGGAATAAGCGCTTCCCTGACAAGCGCAAGGGCCTGAGTTCAATCCTGTGTTCTGCCAAAAAAAAGAAAAAGAACTAGATGTAGGAAAGTGGATTTAACCTGTAGCTTTGCTGTCTACCAGTTAACATGTGTTTGGACTCTTTGCTTTCTTTCTGTGAGCTGAGCCCTAGCTTCTCACCTAAAAGAAGAAAATATTACTACCTACCCTGAAATGCATATGAAAATACTTTTTTTTTTTAATTTTTTTTTTTATTT